TATCTGTGCCAAAGTGGATAAAGGAGCTGTAAGATGAGCAGTAGAGACAGAGAAGGCCCCCAAGTTGACTTGAAGACCAAGGCTCACATGGCAGTTGCCATGTCCCTGGGGTGGGCTATGGACGCTCCATGGCAGACAGGGGAGGCAGGCTGGGAAGAGCTGGGCACTTATGGGTTTGATTTCTGACCTGGCCACTTGGTCAATGTTTCACCTTGGCCATGTCATTTAACTTGGGTTTCCTCACTTGTCAAGTAGAGCCAATTTTATCCGTCTTGAGAATCAGGTAGAATATCTATAGAGTTCCAGCTCATCAATAAGTGACAGCTCTTACCAGTATTACATTCACGATCAGGCTTGATAATCTAAGCTTTGTTCCCCACTGGTGACATTTTCACCATTCATTGAAGCCTCAATTTACAATCTAGTTTAAAGTTATCCAGTGAAAAAGAATCCGAAATTTTTCAGATACGTGGATTTGTTTAACAAGTTACTCGGTAATCATTTATTAAAACTCTTACAATATATTAAGTATTGTCCTAGATACTGGGGATGTAAAGATGAATTGAACATACTATCCTTCCAGGAATGCACTGTGTAAACAGGTCCTAGGAAAGGCTGAGATATCCTTTGCCCTGTCCATCGCTGCCCTGGCAGCATAGGAGAGCATACTTACCTACCCAAGGCATTGAGCTTGATGAGTAGTCAAGAAATCTCCTCCATGCTCCATAGCAGATTTTTATCAAAGAAATAAGCAAAAGACATCAAAATGATGGGAGTTCTAGTTAATCTTGGGAAGGCAACAGGGTCCATATTTTCAGCAGATCACCTGTTGCTTCTGGCCAAGCTGACGCCTGAGCTGACTGGGAGAGATTAACAGACCTTCCATCACCAGTCATCACTAGTCAATTTTAAACTTAGTTTCAGTCATTTTTGGTTATTTTGACCAAAATTCATAATGACGTTTCGGTCAATGACGGACTGCATATACGATGGTGGTCCCATAAGATTAGTACCATATAGCCTAGGTGTGTAGTAGGCTAGGTTTGTGTAAGTACGTTCTATGATGTTCACACAATGAAATCACCTAATGATGCATTTCTTAGAACATATCCCCATCATTATGCAACACATGATTGTACTACATACTTGGTCTCAGTGCCATCTCCTGGGGGCTTGTTTTGTTTCAATCTTAGGAATACCTAGTTTCAGCTCAGTGACTTCCCATTGTTGATCCAACTCGGCACCATTTGGGCTCCAAATCCCTCTACATCAGCCTGCCTCTTTCTATCCCATACCTTTCAACAAAATCAGTCCCATTTACACTTATGTGAAGAGTTATTAGGCCTAAACTCTGATCTTATTTGCATAGAAGGGAGTTAAGATTATTGCACATGTCTTTCCCTAACATAAAGAGTCTTTAATTACTTTTTTCCCCCTCATAACCCTCTCAGGAAACCTTCTCTTTAAATAGTAAGAGGAAGTAACTCTTGGAATAAAACTGTGGTCATTCTTCAGTAAATTTTTTTTTTTTTTTTCCCCTAAAGCCCCAGGCGATAGTTGTATGTCATAGTTGCACATTCTTCTAGTTGCTGTATGTGGGACGCGGCCTCAGCATGGCCGGAGAAGCAGTGCGTCTGTGCGCGCCCGGGACCCGAACCCGGGCAGCCTGCATCAGAGCGCACGCACTTAACCGCTAAGCCACGGGGCCGGCCCCTTCAGTAAATTTTTTAAATGAGTACTGCATTTCTTAATTGCCTGTAGTCACATCTTGCTGATAGATATTTCAAACCACCAGTCCCTATAATTTCACATCACATTCATTGCCTATAACTGACTCATCATGTCTAATTACAAACCAGCCCACACAACATGGAGCCCATCCAGGCAATTATCTGGATGACTTAGGCTCTGAAGCTCATTTTGTTGGAAGGAGTGTGGGACTTGAAATAAGAAGGCCTACATATGAGCCCCATCTTTGTCCCTTAATGCCAGTTTGATATCTAGCAAGCCACTCAGCCTCTCTTGGCCTCCATTTTATCATCTGTATGAGGAAAGTCTTGGAATAGCATTTGGGTTATCAACTACTTTGTAACAAACCACCCCAAAACTTAGTGACTTAAAACAACCATCTTATTTTGCTTGCCACTTCCAAGAGGGCTTCTTCACTAACACATCTGTGCCTTCTTGCCCCTTGGCCTCTCTTATCTGTCTGTCTTGGCATCTCATCCCCCAGGACCTCTGCTTGTACCTTGGGTTGCTCACAGTGTGGTTTCCTGAGAGCAGTCACATTTTTTACATGGCAGCTGACTTCCAAGAAGAAGGAAGCAAAAGATGCCTGGCCGGTTACGGGCTACATCCCAGACTGGCACAGCCTCACGTCTGCTGGGTTCTGTTGTTCAAAGCAGTTACAGGACTCACCCAGATTCAAGGCTGGAGAGAGACTCCACCTCTTGATGTGGGAATGGCAAGGTCACGTTGCAGATGGGCGTGTGGGATATGCCCATTAATACTGAACTGGGTCTCTCAGAAAAAAAAGTGTGCGTATGGTCATAAATAAATTATAAATGTTACTAATATAAAGGAGGTGTAGCACACAAGTTACAATTAAAAATAAACAGTAGAGTAGTTTTTTTTGTCGATTCCATATCCCAATTGATTCTCAAAGGATGCTTTCATTGATTTTTGCCAGACTCAGATCAGTAGCCAACCTACTATTGAGAATAAGGACTTTGCCTTATTCGTCTTCGAGTCTTCCTCAGTGACATTATCTTCTTGCCCATAGTATACTCTCTATGAATAACAATGAAAGAATGGTTACAATCACAAATTAAAATTTAATTCATTTTCCAAAAGCCTCACAATAATGACATTTTATTGAGTACTTACAGTGTACAAAGCACTTTCAAATACACTCTTAATTAGTTCTCATAATATTGTGAGGAATTCTCATCCTCCTTTTCCAGATGGGAAAATAGGTTTTGGAGCAAAGTCACTTGCTGAGGGTCCCCTGCTATAGAAGGCAAAGATAAGACTAGAGTGCGTGACTTCTGACCGCGGTGTACTACTTTCCACTTCCTCTACTGAAACCTGACCTTTAAAGGAGAAATTCAAAATGAACTTAGAGGCAGGATTCTCTGCCACTATCCATATTAAATTATCTCCTTTCAAGGAAGACTTTTTGATAGATGTTCATTGGCATAGTATAGAGCACCTTCACTATTTCATCTCCTGGTTCTAGATATCAATTTTTACAGTGAGTAAACAAGATATCTTCATTCTTCGTCTCATTGTGAGCCAAGCTGTATAGTCTTATCACAGGGGACTCAGGCTCACAGATATCTCTCTGCTTGCTTCATCCTTTCCAAAAATGAGTAGCAAGAATTATTGCCACAGTTCCCAGCCACAGGCTCCCCATAGAAACTACAGGGGCTGAGGAGTATATTCGAGAAGATGAGACAATCTGTGACAACAGGATTTAAATATAGCATTGAAAGGGGCAGTGGGGGAAAAGCTTGTATATTGCAGAGTGACAGTTAGTGATGGGAGAAAGCCAAAGAGGCCTCAGGGTTTTCTTTTTTTGTAATGTCATTGTATGTTTTAACTGAAGAGTTGATTTTTCACAGAGGTTATGGGGATGTTTTTATTAGTATTTTTTTATTTGCATGAGGAAAATGTTCTTTGTAGAAAAATTAGGAAATAAAGAGAAGCACAAAGTTGAAACCAGAAACCCTCCATGATCCACCCACTGTGGTTAACAGATAACTCATGTTAACATTTTGATGAGTATCTCAGCTTTTCAACCTGAATGACGTAATCATCTTGTCAAACCCCAACATTTACATGGCGTGGATTAAGTGTTCTTTAAATAGTAATAGTAATAGCATTCTATTTGATTTTTTTTTTGAGTGGCTTTAAGTGCTGTGCTTAAATTTTTAATTCTATTTGCCTAAACTTTCAATATTAAAGAATAAATAGCAAATGCCTTCTCAGGAGCTCCGTGGCAGCTAGTCAAAGCCGTGTTGTTGTGGGTAGTCTTGAATGCAGAACTTTCACAGGAAAATGATGTTTTTTCTCAGAAAATCTCATGACCTGTGGTCATGACCTTGTGGTCATCTAAAGTGGGAGATGTCCTATGTGACCCGTAGATCAGGTCCCAGGAGGCGTTTAGAAAGCCCCCTGCTTCTCTGCCTTGTCAATGACACTTGAAGGGAATCTATTCTGGTTTTAGTTTAGCTCTAGTATGATATTACATTTATCACACCTTTTGTTATTAGTGCCATCAAGTCAATTCCAACTCCCAGTGACCCTGTGGACAGCAGAGCGGAACCCTGCCTGGTCTTTTTACACCATCCTCTCATCTTCCGGTGCTGTAACAGACAATGCTCCACTGCTATAGATGGGGTTTTCATGACCATTTTTTTCAGAAGTGGGTGGCCAGGTCCTTCTTCCTAGTCTGTCTTAGTCTGGAAGCTCCGCTGAAACCTGTCCACCATGGGTGACCCTGCTGGTATTTGAAATACTGGTAGCATAGCTTTCAGCATCACAGCAACACACAGCTGTCACAATATGACAACCAACAGACAGGTGGTGTGGTTCCCTGGCTGGGAAACGAACCTGGGCCATGGCAATGAGAGTGCCGAATCTTAACCACTAGACCACCACATGGTACCTTTATCAGAGAAACTAGGAATCCCTTTCTCTAAGACATTTCTTTTTTTTTTTTGAGGAAGATTAGCCCTGAGCTAACATCCGTGCCAGTCTTCCTCTAGTTTGTGTGTGGGTCTCCGCCACAGTGTGGCTGGTGAGTGGAGTAGGTCTGCACCCGGGATCCAAACCCGCAAACCCGGGCCGCTGAAGCAGAGCACGCGGAGCTTGAACCATTCAGCCACGGGGCCCAGCCCGACGTTTCTTAAAAGGATGTCTGCTTTGTTGATGCTGTCTATGCTGAGGAAATATGTGGCCTAAGTAACAATTCTGTTCATCTGTTTTTTCCTATTTAGGCAGCAATAAGGAAAGAACTAAATGAATTTAAAAGCACGGAAATGGAAGTTCATGAAGAAAGTCGACAGTTTACAAGGTAGGTAGAAAAAATGCAATTAGCATATTAAAATGACCAAGATGGTAAATTGTATGTTATGTGTATTTTACCACAATTAACATTTTTTTTAAAATACAGTTTAATGTAACAACATCTAATGAACATTTCTAAAATTAAGTCCTTTTTTTTCTTTCAAAGAAGTCTGAATCATTCTAAAGGACTACGTTTTGGTTTCTTTCTTGGTTTTATTTTCTGGGCCAGGGATAAGCGTCATTTATTCTGCTCTTAAAGAGACTCAGTTGAGGTTTTATGCCCAAAACAGATGCTGGTGAGAGCCAGTGTGGGCACATATGTATCTGCTTTGGGCTCTCAGTAGACATAACTTAGGATAGAAACTCGATTTTCAGAAGACATAACTTAGAATAGGAATCCAATTTTTACTGATGCCACAGAAGATCGCTACAATACTACCATTTTCCTCCCAACACCCTTCAGTTTCATAGGCTGCCAGCACCGGAAGGGACCTGAGTGATCATGTGATCTGACCGCACACTTCACAGGTGTTCTGTTAATTTCTCTCTCGTGGGTTGACGTGCTTTGCTTTATATAACAGATGTGTTCCTAAAAATTTACATGCCAATCAAATCTTTAAAAATTGAATTCTTAAAAAACATACCAGCACAGAAGATTACATGAAGAAGACCACAGCAGGTCTTTCCGGAAAACAAATACTCATCCCTTAGGCTAGAAACAGCCTCTGCAGGGCAGCCACACATCATGGTGCTACTGTTTCTGCAGTGGTTCCTGTTGGTGGTGGTGTTCCATGCTGGGGAGCAGGTCACATGATAAAGGAAGCAGTGGTATAACCTCATAATTTAATGGCAAACCCCTTCCCAGAAGTTCATGGGGACCTGACTTGCTCTGTAGCTGTTGTTCCTATCATAATGTCTGGTATGCAGAAGAAACTCCCCTTTCTCCTGGGGATATCTCTTCTTTCTTTGCTTTGTTGCCTCCTATATCATGTTTATTTGTAAATGCATGTAGGACTTTCAGACATCCTGAATGTATAGGATTTTTCTCTATTTGAAGGCTTTATCTTATCCTAATCTACTCTTAGACCCGTCCCATGCCCACATCGAGCCAGACCTATTTGTCTCCTCCTTGTCTCGCTTCTACTTCTGGGGTCAGGAAAAGTTCATGTGAATATCTGACACCTGAGGTCATACTTCTCCAATAGAGTTGATCATAATAAGGTGGCTGGATATTTATGTTGACATCGAGCTGGCTGGGCCCTCTGGGCAACTGACCCGGGAGCAACTGGGAAGATGACATGTGTTTGTGCCGTTGAGTCCTGACCCCTGAGATGTAGTGACTACGCTCAACCCAGTCATTATCATTCAGATAGTTTTCTAGAAATCATAGTATGTGATAACCTCATTTTCATTCGGTAGCATTATATGAAGAATAAACTACAATAGAAAATAAATTTTAAAAATGTGTTTTTATGGGAGTTCTCATTTTATGAAAAATAAACCTTTATATATATAGGGGGCTGGCCCCGTGGCTTAGCAGTTAAGTGCGCACGCTCCGCTACTAGTGGCCCAGGGTTCGGATCCCCAGTGCACGCCGCCGCACCGCTTCTCCGGCCGCGTCCCACACACAGCAACTAGAAGGATGTGCAGCTATGACATACAACTATCTACTGGGGCTTTGGGGGAAAAATAAATAAATAAAAAATTATTAAAATAAATAAATAAATAAATAATAAACCTTTATACTGAAAGAAATTCTTTCTCTTCTGTTGTACATTATGACCAAGTAAAGAAAAAGTAGGATGCAGAGAGAAGTAAGGTTGTTTCTTTTTTATCTATCTATTTTTTATGTACACAAATAAAATATTCTAATTAAATGCTCAAACAGTACAAAAATCTGTCGAGTAAAAATGAAAACTCCCCTCGCTCCTTCCTCGACTTCATTCCCGTTCTCACAGGTAACCACTGGTAAAAGTTCGGTGTAGGTCCTTCTAGACATTTGTCTATGCATTTACAAACATGCATATATATATGTGTATGATATATGTATATATGTACACATGCCTTTATGTATACCCTCTCAGTCACACACAAAACAACATCTAGAAAATCTTTCCAAGTTAGTATATATATCATTCATTTGAATGACTATGGCATTTCATAGATAATATACCATAAGTTATTGATCAATTATTCTATTTATTAGTGCTTATGGAATTTTCAGTTTTTCATTATTAAAACAATGCTGCCTTGACTTTCTTTATAAATATATCTTTGTGCACACATACCAGAATTTCTGTAGTAGTCCCATAAGTGGATTTGCTAGGTCACTGGGTATGTATTTTTTACATTTTGAAAGATATTATTCTCTGATCTACAGTTTATGAGCTTGCCTGGTCTACCTGCCCTCATCAGCATTTGGTGGGGACAGGGGGGTGGTGGTAGTAAGGAGCCTATATTCTTAAGAATGAAAAATAATATCCTATTTCCTTTATTTATATGAGGTTGGATGTCTTTACATATATCTTTATTGACCATTTATTTTTTATTCTTTGATTTGCTTTGACCAATTTTTTTTTTGAGTTGTTTGTCATTTTCATATGGATTAGTAAAAACTCCTTAGGTATGGTGGACATTGGCCCTTTATGACAAGTGTCACAATACTTTCCCCCAATCTTTTGTTAACCTTTTAAACTTTTTTATGGTCTTTTGTTTAAATTTTTGCATATTCAAATTTGTCTATATTATACTTTTTTACCTCATTGTTTTGTGTCTTATGGAGGAAGGCCAAGATTATAAAACTATCATCCTCAATTTTTATATATGCTTTTCTTTTTTTACACACAGATCTTTCATCCGTTGGGCATTTATCTACGTGTGTGATTCAAGAGACTAAACTAAATTTGCATTCTTCTGAATCAATAGTCAATTGTCCCAATCCCATTTATTTCTCCTCGAGGTGAAATTCTTCTTTTAATATACACATGGGTCACTTTCTGGATTCTTAATTATGAGCTGTTATCTATCCTTACTCTGTGTCACAATGTTTAATTAGAATAGATTTGTAGTATGTTTTCATATCTGATGGGGTATTTTTTTCACCTTCAAAATTCTATTGGCTATTTTTCTATGTTTACCCATCTACAGAAATTTAGAGTATGCTTGTTGTATTCCATAAACTAGTCTATTGATATCTTCATTGTTTAAGTAAATATCAGTAGATGCAAATGGGGATGAGCTGCATTTCAAGAGAAAATTATAGGCTTTTTGGGGGGGAGGTGGGTAACAGCTGATATCAAGGGTGAGCTTTAAAAGTTTTCCAAAAACTATATTGATTAACACTCTTTAAAATGTCTTTCCAGATAAGGAAAAATGAAATATTCATGTCACTAAGATAAATATGTCTTGCTGAAGTATTCTTTAAAACTTGGCGGGAAAGCAAATGTCTCCTGCTATTTTTCCATTAATTTGTATTACATCATTAGAGTTGTGTTCCAGAAGAGAAATATTTTGGCTCTGAGACTGATAAAAATCATGCTTATGATTTTCAAATTGTTTTCAGTATTTCTTTTAAGAGGAAAAAGGTTTAGTAAACACACTGAGACTAATCAAATTAAACAAAAATATGATAATGTTATACGTTTAGAAAATTGCTCATGTAGAAGATAGTAGTGCCCTTGGCACCAGCCACCCTTGGAGAAAATAAACATGCTGTGGATCGTTACCCAGCCCTTTAAATGCAACCTAGGTATAGAGCAGCTCACTTATTAGCTCTTCTTCTTAGCACCAGACGTTATCTCCTTATATCAGGTAAGCCTTCCCTTCAAAACCTAAATCTGTTAACTCCCTGCGGATTTGGAATGGTTAATAACAGGGCTGAGACAGCCCTGCTCCCTCTGCCCAGGCTCCTCTTTGTCCAGAGATAATCTCCCCTACAGTGATGGATCAGGCAACACTGGAAGGATCCATTCCCAAATATAGCTTCCTTTGCTTCTGTATCTCTGCAGAGATCTACAAAAAGCTGACAACATTGGTTGCCTCTGGGGGGCGGGGGAATTGGTGGCCAGGGGCCGGCATGGGAGGGGGACTTTGTACTTCTCACCCTTTTGAACCTTTGGGATTTTTGAAACATGAGAATTTTTAACCTTATAAATATGTCAAAAACACACATTTACAAGAAAAAACAAAGGATTCATTCCCTAAGTCCTCTTGCTGTAAATGAAGAGTCCATCATGATGGCTTTTCTTGAAGAATGTGCTGGCACTGGTATGAACGGTGACACTTTGCTCTTGGTGTAGCAAGAAGACACCTCTGGACCCTCCATCACAGGATACATTCTGTGACGTGTTTGATCTGTGATGGGGAAGAATTGTGGTGACCCACCCTCTCGTCTACTTCCCCCAGTTTCTTGGGTATTTTCCAGATAGCTCTCTGGAATTGGAATATATTCCTGGGCCACATAAGAAGGGTGAGGCCAAAGGGTCCCCAGGAGAATTCATCCTGTGGCCTGAGAGGTACCGAGCTCTAACCTCGGTTCTTTTGGACACTTCCTGCTTGTCCGGCCACATGCTGCGTTCTCTGCTCCCAGCAGCTGCGGACCCAGCCTGCTGTTCAAAACCCAAAAGACCACTTGAAGGGCGGTGTATTATTAAATAGGATCGTTGCATTTGGAACAAGATCACCATGGCCAAGAAAAGCCATGTCCTTTTCCAGAGTAAATGGGGTTTCTACAAAATAATTCTCTAAATTATAAAGACAAATTGTACGAAGGGTCAGATTTTATTTAAAAACTAAACTTTAAAATGGGTTTACAGTGGAGTGGTAAAATTATGGGTAATTGTAATCTTCTTCTGTTTTCCAAAATTTTTTTTAAGTGTCAGCACGTTATCAGATTTATAATCAAGAGAGAATATTACTTTTAAAAAATAAACTTTGAATTTTGTAAATAACATCTTTTGGCATGTGCAACGTAGTACTTTCATATATCTAACTTTATTAGTTTATAGA